TACACGACCCGGCACATTCGTGTTACATGTTTGTATCGAGCAAATGGCTTGCCCGAAGGCCTACGAGACATTTCCGAGGCGGCTATGAGCTGATTTTTTTCTCTTTCCGTCCGTTTTCTTCTCTATATTGTCGTGCGCATATTAGCGGAGCCTCGCGGCATTTGCCAGATTATCCATTTTCTTTTTTTCTCACGTCAGATCTTTTCTTTCCGCGGTTTTGAGAAGCATGGGGCATGGGTACCGGCGTTTGCGCGATGGGAGCATACGACGGTCAAGCGCTGACCGCAAGAATTTCTCTCCTTTTCTTTTTGAAGTCAATGAGTCTGTGTGCGTTGTTAGTGTCGCGTAGCATAGCGTTATATCCGCATCGCATGGCATCGTATTTTGTCGTATCGCGTGTTCGCGATCTAGATTGCATGACTTCACAGTCACGTTAGTTCGACATGTTTACGGCATTCGCTCCGAGGCACATACATATATATATCAACACAATAAGTACATATCTAAACAATTCAAAATATCAAACAATAGACATCCGACTGGTGCAGGTGATGCGATGCATGTGAGGTATACTGAGTGCGCGATTCCAGTATCTTCGCTTTTAGGCGGACGACATGACGGGAGTGATGCGTATGTTCCAGCTGGATACATGACATGGGAATTGGTATCGCAAGCACTGAAGTGCATGTGTGATAGAAGACGGAAGATACGTCTGTTATTGTGGGTGGATGATCATACCTAGGTGTGAGATGATGAAGTGAACTGCTCGTGTGCTGGTAGGGCGCATTGATCTTGTCAATTCCCCTCTCGTAGGATAGCGGCCGATTCTATATGGGCTGATCCTAGGTCTGCAGTTGACAAAGTCGTCAACGCGAAGCGCCCTCTAGCTATGCGGTGTCCGAGAGCGATTGGTTGTTTCTGCGTAAATCTGGGTCAAAATGAAAAGTAGTGTGCACATCGCAGGCTGGTATGTACGCAGATGAAAAGTCGTGATACGGCATTGTAGTGCATAGAGATGGGTATCCTTAGGGCTGAACAAGAGGTCATGTCGTACAAATTCGAGTGCAGAAGGGCGCATGTAGCAGTATAAATATACTTCTTACTTAGGTTTATTTTTGCCAACTTTGCGTCATTTGCCTGCCTTTACTATATCTAAGCATATTACTCGTCATGCCACTTGCTGCTCATGAGTTATCGTCTATCAGTGCGAGTTCAGATGTAGGGGTTCGCTTCGATCCGTTCTCAACAATTGTTTGGCTTCCTGTTTGATGAAACCAGACTCTGTTGCGAGAGTGGGTAAAAATGTAACACCTTTAGTCTGGCAACCGACGAGAAATGCCGAAAGCTAGAAATAGCACGGCGGTCTTTATTCTTGTTCAAAAGACAATCTTTATCTCTGTCTGCGTGAAGTGTACATTCTGGAGGTTCCTAGCATGAAAGTTATGGGTTTACATAACAAACCTTCTTAAGGTTTTCTGTAAGTATAGCCAAACAGGAATAACACCGATACGTATCGACACTTCTACTGTATCGCTATGTCTTTTGTAGAAGCGTGAGGCATGTTACAAGTGCAAAAAATCCGGCATGGAGGAAATTATGATCAAAATGATGCCACACATCTCCAACTTGTGCCAGCAAGCAAAAAGAGAGCTGTTAAGCCGTGTTGTATGACCTAACCAGGGGTCGAACCTGGAATCTCTTGATGTCGGAGTAATCGTAGTCAAGCGCCTTGCCATTGGGCCATTAGGCCAGTTATACTGGTTGTTGATGGAAGAAGTTGAACTTTGTCCGTCAATATCCTTAAACACAAAAGCACACAGCCCGCATAGCATGCTAGAAAGCTCGATCGTAGCTTACTGCGTTTGATGGTACCGGGAGGTTGCTGGCTAGTAGCATGCCAAAAAAATCTTTGTGCTGTGGGGCTGCGGGATCCGCGGGTGAGGGGCACAGCAGATTTTCGGAAGCGAAGCACGACAACGCCGTACGCGTGCATGACTGTAATCAACGGCAAGATCTCAAGGTTACTACCCCGGGTAATCTTCGTTCTGTCCGCTCTGTTTGGCTGCGTTCACAAGCGACACTTGGGCCGAACAGTAGTACCTGATCCCATCACATAGGTCTCATTGACGATGCCGGCAATCGACGACTGAACAACATGATAGAAAGTCAAGTCACATATCTAAGTAGCAAATGCATTGTTCGCGATACCTCGCTACCAGCATAGTGTTGTTGGAGCTCGATCTGCCCGTGCCAGGCGCAAACGCAGTCACAGCGACGTTTCGCGATGGCTTCTAGCCGCAATCGACACCTGTTTCCAACCCTGCCTGGAAGAGGAGGACTGGCTGACGCTAACGCAGAGTCAAAGCAAAGCATCGCTGTGGCTTCGATGGCACTTGTAAACTTGCCTCTCTTGGACCCGGCGTCTACGGTAAACCAGCCAACCAGACTGGCAAATTCTTCAAAGCGAAGATTCGCTGCGGCGTTCGACGGTAAGTGTAAACCTGCCCGTCTCGGACTGACGATAGGATTCATGGGCCCATCTAGCCAGTGGGTCAGTGCTCTCTGTGAAAGCAAAGTATCGCTGTGCCTTCGACGGCTGTCTCAAACTTGCCCGTCTCGGACATGATGCTGTGGTAGGCACGGCACCGATGGCACACCACCTAGCAACATGTCCAGAAGGGGCAACTTCGTGTTTCCTGTCGAACGTCGCTGTTCTGTCAAAGCGAAGAATCGCTTTGACAGTACGGCCTTCGATGGCATACGCAAACTTGCCTCTCTCGGACGTCACGCTTGTGGCAGGCCAATCAGATAGGTTATCCTGTGAAAGCAAAAAATCGCTGAAGCTGCTGCAGCATTCGACGGTGAGTATCCAACCTGCCTGTCTCGGACTTGAGGCTTGTGGTAGGCCAATCAAATCGAATGGCGTCTGAAAGCAATCTTTCGCGAACGCAGGCTTGGCCGTAATCTACAGCTGTTGCAAACATGCCTGAAGTGGAAGGATGGGTGGATAGACCTTGTCATTGACTTTCAGCGATTGGTGCTTCTGTTCGGAGGGCAGCTGCCACTCTGGAATGCCCATGGATCAGTGTGTTCCCCCTCAGTTGCAATCGGCCACACCCTCGAAACTGTGCTGGAGACGATTCAAATGCAGCTTCCTCAAGAATGTATACCCAAACCATGAGAAGATGTTGAGTAGTATTTTCCATTATCACGCTTTTTAAAACTGAACAGCATGAGGAGGATCAGGAAGAATCGCCCACAACCCAGCCCACCTGTGAACAAAGTGCGAAATCCCGAGGTCAGCGGCAATCAACAGCAAACCCAAAGTTCCTGTAGCAAGCAATGACGACCTAATGTTAGTGAACAACGCCGCAATCCACGCTCCTCCTGCAAGTTGCCTGGACGGGGATCTGCCAGCTATCTCACCAATTGAGGGGCTCAATGTCCAAGGCGGCATTCAACTGCGCAATGTGAACAAGCTGTGTGCCATAATCTACACATCTTCAAATCTTGCCTTGACAGGAACGCTACGTGCTTCTGTTCGCAAAAGCGACATTCTTTGTGGGCAATGGACTCATCGCACAACTTCGCTGTCGGTGCCATCTTGGATCGTGAGCAACTTGCGATCCTTGTGTAACCACGGACATTCAGAACCTCAAAGAACTATCGTGAACAGTTTCGCCGCCATCGACACCTTCTCAAAACTTACTTGAACGAGACGTCTCACGTGCAGTGTCCTGAAGTCCTCTGTGCATGACGCACGAAAAGCGCTCTTTACCCGACCGATCCTAGCCTCAGACTATCCGCAGATCACTAACCCACTGCAATCTAGCAGCAAATGTAGCCAATCAGCATGACTGCAATAACTTTTCGAACGTCGATATGGCCTCCCACCGCGATCAACACCTGAAGCAAAGTTACCTAGTTGGGAGTCATTACGTCTACGACTGGGTCTAGTTGCAGGGGGTCTGACTGTTCATCCCTGCAGACAGCGAAGTGTCGCTGTGAGATGGCCTTGGCTGCGATCGATACCTTTCTTTCTAACTGCTTGTTTGAGAAGCGTCGCTGGGCGAGCTGTATGATGTGGGCGTAGTTGTGTGAACCGGAATGTGAGAACGGTTGCTGATATTCTTTGCGCGTAGAGCGCTGCGGAGATGCGATCTGCTAGGCTCGCGCAATGTGTGCCCGCAAATCGCAGCATCGAAATGTGTAGCATGCTTCCATACTGTACGTAGCAAATGCTTTGTGGTCATCGATCATAGGCAGGCAAGACGCCGTCCGCGGGCCAGTTGACGCAGCCGGGGCAATCGGGGTATGCCTCCGCAATCTACGCCCTCTCGAAATGTGCCTGTTTGGGAGGCTCAGCCTCGTTGCAACCTTTGCTCTAGATCTCTCTTTTGCAGTATACGGCACACGTTGATAGCTCAAAAGTAATGGAGAATACCATTTTCTTGACTACATGACACTGCAGCTGTTTACACACATTCGTGTTGCGGCATTTTAGTTTGCGTGTGGGCGCAAGACTTAGGGCAATTTTCTACGTCAAAAGCACAATCCAAAAAGCTAGAAAATTAGCTCGCCGGCATCAACGCATTCCAGTGTCGTCTACATGCAGGGAAAATGTCAAATCATCGATTCTCTACATTGTCACAAACTTGAAAGTCATGCGCGACGAAGTGACTTGGGGTGAATGTGGGTTTGGTGTCTTGGGGAATGGAGACGCGACGAGACGTCAGCAACGACGCGCCCATCTGCGCTGCTGCAGGCTACACAGTGGTCACATTTCAGAACCAAGTAAACCTAGAGATAAGCTGAACACCCTGGAGCCTACATCAACGTCAGGTCACCTCCTTTGTTTGTGTTCATATCAATGTAGTCTGCACGCCTGTTTAGGTTTTCTCTCGTATGATGCGGAACTGTCACGAAGATTCATGCATGCCGACTACATCACCCTGGCATTATTACTACACTGCTGCACAGAACCCATGTGGTCGCCTCGCCTATGCGTAGCTCGCCCACCCCATATACAGCACCGCCAAATTCCGTTCATCGGTAGCTTGTTGTATGAGCTCATTCACCGTGGCCTTGGTACTGAGCGTTTTACTCAGTTTCTTCTCCACCACGCTGAGCGCTCGCCCCGCTTCACCAGCCTGTTCCTCCTTCTCCCTCTTTTTGTTATCTTCCTGCGCGACCGCTGCTGCCTCTTCGGCCGCCGATTGACCCGATGGCGCGGGTGTACCTCCCGGCGCAACGGTAGTCGAGCGCGCAGTACCGTTTGCGCCCGTTTCTTGGTTGGCTTCCTGCATGCGCTTTGCTTTCGTGGGTGTGACGCTCCAGTTGACGAGAGGATCATATCGCAGGACATTGAGGAGTGTCATGATAGACTCCCGCTCCTCGCGCAACGTGTCCATGGTAAACTCGCAGCAGCGGCGGAAGACTCCCTCCGTCTTCGTGTATCCCATGCCGTCTACCAGATCGCGCGTCAGTCGGAAGGGCACGACTTCTGGTACTGGCAGTACGCGACCAGCTTCGAAACTCACACCAAGATCGATATGTACTACCTCACCAGACTTCTCATCGAGGAGGATGTTGTGACAATGCCGATCGCCGAGACCGAGGACGTGTCCAAGGATGGAGATAGCGGCTGTTGAGCGCGTGTATGCCAGGCGACGTTCAAACCACTCGTCTGGGTCTTCGAAGCGCTCCAGTAGGAAGTAGCGCATCACGGGGTGGAAGTTGTCCGCAATCTTTTGCCACACCTTGACGCGCGTGGTGAGGGAGTCCTGCTGGCATGCACCGATCTCTTTGCGACATTTCTCGGGCTTGTAGTCGCTTGGGTAGTATTTCTCGTGAGCTGGCATAACCCAGAGATGTAGAGGAATGGTATTCTGCACGAACTCCATGAGGCCAGAACGTGTTGAGAGTGGCAGGACTTTGTATGTGCGGATGCCCAGATTGCGAATACGCGTTGCGGTGTGGTTCTTCAGTAGTCGCGATACTTGATCGAAGACTTGCTCCATGATTGCGTCCTGGCGTAGGTCGTCGTTCCCGGATTTGAACAGTTGCTTGTACGGTTTGCCATCGGTGCCCTTAGCAGTGATGACCTTTGGCGCACTGAGTCCGTTCGCAATCGTCATGGTCGACTTGAAGCCTGCGATCTTCGGCAAATCACTGTAGTTCATGTTCGGCCGAACTTCAATCTGAAGAGTAGCCGGGGGTACGTTGAGCTTCGGCACCCTGTTCACCAAATCTCGTGACTCCTTGTACCTATCAAGGGGTAACTCACGACCTTGCTGAGTACTCTCCTTCTCGCCCTTGAACATGGCAAGATGATGATAGACCTCGTTCGACTGGAAGATCGAGCTCCAGTACGATCGACCCCTCTTGTCAGTGCTGAGCGCCGTCGCAAGGCCGCCCGCAGCTTTCTGGCGGGACTTCGCAGATTCATCCTTGGCTCGAACGACATCTTCCCTAGAGGTGGCGGCGACCTTCATCTGAATCGCGAAGATCTGATGCATTCCTGGTGTACGAAGTCAGCGACACATCTCACATTAGTCCGTGACACTTTATACTAGGGAAAAACTGAACAGCCTGGAGCAGACGTTGACGTTGAGCCCCCTACTTTGCATGGTTTCATCTCGATGTAGGCTCCAGGGTGTGCGGGTTTCCCCTTGGATGAGGTGGTACTGGGAATTGACTTACCATGATATGGGTGGTCAACGCATATGCGGAAGACCAGCTCCATCAACAGGTGTTGAAAGTCGTTCTCTTCGGCTTGTAGTCGTGAGGATAGCTGGTTCATCAGCAAGGCAAACTTCCCGCTCGGTACATCCTTCAGATATGCCTTGACAGCTTGATTTGCCAGAGGCGTATCGGAATATTCCAGCCACAAGGAAAACACACGAAGCGCGTCGTGATTGTATTCGTCGCTGGCCAGAAGAGACAAGAGATAGTTTTCGAGACACTGGCGAAGGAATTGCTCGCGGCCCTTGCGCATCCTCTCATATTCCGCATTGTCGAGGTCGTACCAAGTCTTCGCACGACGAGCGTTTCGGTGGTACGTCTCGCGCATCCCTTTACTCTTGTCGGTCTTCGAGAGCTTCGCGAAGTCATGGTACTCTTGCAACTTTCGATCCATCACAGTCTTGATACGATTCATGTCTTCCGCTGCTTCAGGACTTTGAAGTTGCTTGTCGCAGAAGAGGGCAAACTCGTGGAAGACTTGGCCTGGGCCCAAGCCCTCTTTCTGGCCTTTGAGCTCACGGATGGCAGGTTCTAGGTACTCTTTCATGATTGCATCTGGCTTGGCAAGGCGAGCTTCAGCGAGATGATGTCCCTGGTATTGTTAGTCGAGCGATGTATGCAGCCATTCGGTATCCTTACCAGTCGAGCAAGCAACACTGGCAAACTGAGATCAACGTTCTGCGAGTCGAAATCGGCGTTGTCGATTAGATGCTGACGCATTCTTATCGAGATCTCGGTTTCACCCTGTTCCCACAGCACATTCGCTACCTCATGTTGGGCTGTAGCTTCAATGTCAAGACCTATAGCCTTGCACTCCGGTACGATGTCGGAAAGGTAGGTCACACTTGCGAGCGACTCTTGCAGTGCTCCATGCTTCCTGCAGAGACTAGACGATGAAACTAGAGCCTCGACCTCCATGCCTCGCACGGTCGCAGTCCGGGTGTGTAGCGAGTCGACGAGAGCGGCATTTGTACCGAGCACGTTGAAAAGCGTCTCACGACATGATAGTAGCTGGCGCACGTCATTGAATCTAGTGATGGTAAGTATACGGTCTTGGAAAGGTTGAGCAATACTTACTCGCCAGCCCGCATCCACTTCTCTCGAGCCTTCATGCGATCCCAAATATCTAGCAAATGCTCCGAACGTTCAGCTGTGATCACTTCGTCTGCCTCTGTGAGCGCCCCTAGCGTGCGCAGGCGAGTCTTCGTTGATATGGATGAGGTGTCTTTTCCGCAGAGGAAGTTCATCGTCACCTGTAGTTGGCGGTCGAAGTTCTCCTGAGCCTCTGTAGTGCTCTTCGCAAAATGCAGCCCTTGGAAGGCTTTGAACAAAGTGCTTGCCTCTGTATGATTTACTTCCGGCGCTTTGATATCCCACTGGCCCAGTTTGCGCGCAGTATGCAGCGTACTCTCAACGACGTCGTCTCCGGCATCGCGGAACTGGTCGTTGGAGAGTAAGGAGTGCGTAAGGCTGTTCATATTCAACATGATGAGAGATTTGAGCGTTCCTCGGGAGTCTACCGCCTCAAACTCGTTGCGCCGGCGCATTTGACTGTCTAGACGAGCGCCACGAAAGAGCAGGCTCTTTACCCCGTCACCCTCGTAGTCGAGACGGTCTAGCACTGACAACAAACTGGAACCTCGATCAACACCGTAGAACGAATCAGGCTCGTCGAGGTTCTTGTAGATAGAAAGCTGGAGCTGTAGCGGCACTTTTGGAGGGTCGACCCTAACAGACGATCTCCTTGTGCTGTTCTTGATGATTGGCTGGCCAGAAGATGTCTCCGCAAACAAGAGCGCACTCCTGAACATGCCACAGTCGTTCGCGGCTTGTGAAGCCTCTAGATAGTCGACGTCTAACCATTTGTCTCGCTCCACTCTGGTAACCTCCTTAGGGACTGGTTGGCTCCGGAGGTAGAGGATGGATTGGATAAGGATGCGGACGTGCGGTATGGTATCTGGGCTGCAATCGCGGAACCAAGTAGCCATAGCTTTCGATACGATGTCATGAACATTGCGCTCCGCTTCATATTCGTCAAGTAGCACGAGATGAAGTATGTAGGGCAGGAGCTTCTCCGCCATGTGGTTGATACCGCGGAGCAAGTCTGGAAGAGCCCCCAAAATGGGGTCGTCGATTGCAACTTTGCACAGTGCCATTGTCAGGTTTCTAATCCAGTCAGATACCGGTTTGACCGGTGTAGGTGAGACGGCTTCGCGAAGACCATCCGTCAGAGGATGCGAGGTAGTATCTGGCTCCGGGGGCTTGTACAAAAGGGCTTTACCGATGGCCTCCGGAATGACTCGATGCATCTCGCTCATGTACTGCGAATCAGGCACCAAGCGAGAAATCAGGCGTCGTACAGCATCCTCTGCAAGGCTGACCTCATTTCGTTCGTCGCTGTAGAATAGATCGATAACCTCATTAACAATAGCTTCTCGTGATGACTTCCCAGGAACCGATTTGGAAGTCTGCACTGACGATGCCCATGGCCGAGCCTGCGCAGAGCTCTGCTTCACTTCCCCGTAGGCGCTATATGCTCGTCCTAGGACCCGTGCGGTCCATAACAAATAACCGTCGCCGACCTTACTTCTGCGACACGACTCCCAGACAAGGGGTGCATATTCTGCAGCATCGTAATCCAAGCCGAGGACGTCATCTCGGGCGTTTGGAGCTGGTTCAAAGTTCTGGCAAAGCAAGTCCAATGCGACATCGCGTGATGTTTTGTTCAATAACTTGCGTCCTGACTTCGCGTCGTCCAATATCTCAAGAAGAAGCTTGCTCTCTTCACTACCTCGCAATGAGTTGCCTTCGGCATTGACTTGAGCAGCGGTCGCGGTGATGATCTTGAACGCTTTGATGGCGGAAGAGCGCTCTACACCATTAATTGCCTGCGCGTGAGCCTTGAGATACTCAGTAAGCCAAGCATGGAATCTGTTGGCTGCATTCATAGTCGCGAGATGTTGGGATTGTTGGGTAGTGCTGTCCTGAGAGGAGCCTAGGAATACTCGAAGAGAGATGAGAATCGAAAGGCCGATACCTGTAACGAAGCTGAGCTGTTGACGGAGATACTGAGCGCCGTGTTCGAAAAGATACTGCATGATACCAACTGTATCTTCAGCACATTGCATGTCGGTGAGGAAAGGGCGCAAAGACTGCAGCGTCATTTGCAGTGGGTACCCTTCATGTGCTACAGGTCCAGCCAGCGCAACTATGACTCGAATCTTCCTGATCATCGAACGGGCATACAGCGAGCCGAGAGCATGATGGATGCGATCGAGCAGGGAGCGCATCACATATGTATATGTGCTCGGTGACCAGAAGCCAGCCGGTCTGTCGCCCGTCCGTCTACACAAGCGTTCCAGCTGATCAGGCAGATAGAAGGCGGAGAACGAAGGCTCAATACCTATGTTGAGGCCTTGTGCAGATTGGCCAATTTCGGCAATTTCGGCTAGAACTGCAGCGGCGGGATTGAAGGCTGGTTTCTTCTCTAGCGACTTGGGTAAACGTTCCTCGTGATCGATGGTTTGGAACATGTGGCCCAACACCTGGGGGAAATGTTTCTGCACCAGGCCATAGTATTTGTCGCTACCAACCATGTCTTTCAGCAAGTTGCCGAAGCTGGAGTCGGCTTTGTTACGGGCGGAGCCCCTGCAAGTGTCCCATGCTATTGTATATGCGGCTGCTTTGCCGATATTTCTCGACAGCATCTCCTGTGCTGACATGTCTAAATGGTCAGCCAGAAACTCCACCTCATCCTTGCGCCCGAACATTATAGCTTGGCCCACCACTTCGGCTTCGATGTCACGAAGAAGGTCGGAAAGCGACGCGTAACCGAAGATAGTAAAAGGAATACGGCCGACCTTTTGGCCTCGGTCGAGCCAGGTGAATATGACTTGTGGTGCAAAAAGCCGGAATAGGCTTTGTGAATCACCGAGACCTCTTGATTGCGCCACGTTCAGGATGCATCGTTCGGCGTGGTAGGTAGCGCCTGCGATAGTCCCTGCCGTAGCGAAGATTCGATAGACGCTGTGACGCAGCAGCGTATGCCACTTGGATGCCAGTCGCGACAGGACGAGCAACCGAACCGCTATGCCCTCAAGACCTTCGTCATCTCCAGGCAAGCTGCTATCGACATCCTGCAAAATCTTGTCGTGTTCGGAGAGAACGAAATCTTCGAACATTCTTGGCAAGTGCTCCGCGATGTGATATTTGACAGTCATTTCGCCTGTTGACAGCAGCTCGAAAAGGCTAGTCCGTACTGATGGGACCTTGCGATTTTGCGCAAAATCGGGATGATGCTTCAGTAAGCCATGTAGAAAGACTGCTATCGTTGTCTGCAAGTTTGCTGAACGCCGGACTCCTCCTTTCGATTTCTCCATCTCTTTGACGTAATAGACATACAGGGCCTCTACGTTGTCGTAAAGATCTTGAGCCTCGCGATCGGTTGCATCAGGTAGCCAAACGAGTGTGGTTCCAATCAGAACCTCGACAAGCATACCGTTGGCGACTTCGGAGGTGTTGTATTCACGAGCACGAGGATCGATAAGAGCTTCGCTGAACCGTTCGAGGAGATTGAGGCAGTCGTTCCTGGATATCTGCAGGTTGCTGTTCCATACCGAACGGAGGAATTGACGCGAACGAATAAGGTCATTCTCCGAGAGAGACACGAGGAAATCGACGAAATCCGGGGGTACTGCTCCAGTTTCCAACTCAGTGCGTTTGGCCAGAGACGAAATAAACTGCAAGTGTGCTAGACAACATGCACGCAGAGCAGATAGGTCGGTTTCTGCTTGCACATCATGTCGAGGTACGTCGTTATCGGGAACTGTGGCTCCAGCAGTCATCTGTGAGTCAGGCTCGTCGTCCACATCCATGAAGTCATCCTCATCCGCGTAGAACGATTGTTTGACCTCTTTGCGTTGCTGGAGAGCCCGGGGTAAGTGCTCAGCCAGCTGGTCCATACCTATCAATTCGTATACGCCAGAGCTCACTCGCTTTGAAGAGCTGATGTCAGGAAGACCTTTTGCACAGGTCTCGAGGACTGCATCGACTTTGTATTGTTCCATCTGAGGCTTAGCCAGTGTAGTGGCAAAAGACTCGATCAGGGCAGCTGCGGACGATCGGAGAGTACGCACACGGCGGTCGTCAGGGTCGCTCAGAGCTGCAACAGCTGGCGCGACGATGCACAGATTTGTGACGATGCGCATCATATCTGAGGTGATGCCTTGTATGTTTGACGAAGCCATATCCTTCCAACGGTGCTGGGCTCGTTCGAGCTCGGATACGCAGAAATCAAGGATCCTGCTTCCAAGTTGCGTGGAGGAGAGTTCGCCTGTGGGCTCATCGGAGGAGAGACGCGGTCCTTGTTCGATCTTGGCTACAAAATCCTTTACAGGTCGGAGAAGCAGGAGATAATGTGCGAGGTCTTTGTAACGCGCCATTTGCGTTCGGGCTTGCCCAATAGGTCCAAGTACAAGATAAGAGGCCGGCTCCGGCGGGCTGTAGGGTGCGTCCAGGCACGTGTAGAGTACGCGCAGTACATCACGAGCGTTGCAGTGGTGAGCATTCAGCGCCGAGTATGTCCGTTCAGACCATAGACCTGTATGATGTCAATTCAGCTTCAGGAAAAGCTTGATAGCGCTTACTGGGAGTCCATTTAGTGAGGAGCCAGTTAAGGATCCGCTCAGCTGTCGAACTGAAATGTGTCGGGTTTTCTTTGATTCGCTCCTGAAGAATGGTGGTGAGTAGTGATGAGCTGCTCTCCGTGAGTAAAGCCGGTCCGCTTAGTTCTATCGACAACAGCAGAGACTGGACAGTCTCAGACACTGCTGAGAAGGGAACGATGTTCAGTCGTAGGAGGACGTCCATGAGATGACATGCCGCGCGGGATATGGATACGGAAGTGACTGCGCGAGACGCGCTTTGCCATGCAGAGATCCAATAGGGAAGAAGGGTTGAGTGGGATGCTGTTTGTTGAAGCGCGGCTCTGCGCAAACGTCAGCTACGTCCGCTGTGTATAATGTCATGATATGCCTACCCTGCCAAACCTATCATTGCCCACACTGAATGTACTGGGTTCTCATCTGAGATGCACGAAGTGAGCTTCTCCAACAGCGATTGAAGTTCCTCTTCGTCAAATGGTCCTTCCTGAATCATGAACGAAACGACCTGTAGAGCTGCTCGCTTGGCATTCGATCTGGGCTCAGACACATGACGAAGGTATTCAGGGAATAATTGAGTAATGCGAACACGTTTGCTAAAGCTCTCTTCGCTGTCGCTACGGTCATGGGCGATGGACATCCTTCGCTCATCAAGCATAAATGAAAACCGCGCAATGGTGGATACTGTAGACCACAACCCTTCATATCGCTGATGTTCAGTCTCCATGGAGAATGCGCATGTGTTCAGGGGATGAGTCTCATTGCGAGCAGGCCCCAAGTGTCGAAAACAGAGATGATCCTCTTCAAGATATTGGTGCGCGGTAGTTTCTTGCCTGCGTCGGTAGTCGCCATACATGGTCTCAACGAGGCCTTCCAGGTCAGAGCTAGTGGTTTCGTCATCTGGGTCAGTGAGAAGGCTCGCAATGTGTGCCTCAGTGTATATCAGACTGATCATAATCTCATCTCGTAGGATAGCCTCGGACCACATAAGCTTGAGGAGCGGGAGCAATGTTTGCACCGTACGCTTGGTCAACTCGACAGATTGCAACGTGATGCGTGCGAGGACCGCGTTGACAGCGGCCAGGGCAGCCACGCCCGTACTTCCACGGGTAGTCCTCTGTTGCAAGAACTTTAGTAAGACAGCCAGAACGGCGTCAGCCTTGTCTAGCAATGGCGCATTGGAAGCCTTGACGAGATGATGCAGGCAATGGACAAAGTCTTCTGTTGCGCGAACGTGCTCTGGAGGGGTTGACTTGGTCTTGGTCACTGGCAAGCGTGGAGAGGCTCTAGAGGACGTGAAGTCGGCTTCAAGGGGAGTGCGGGCGCGGCTGGAAACATTAGTGCTCCAGCTGTTCTGTGGCTCACCTTCGGCGGGCGACTCTTGGAAGAAGCCGGCCAGAGTTTCGATGCAGAAATCGACGGCAGCATCCCAGCACTCCTTTGACAGGCGCTCAACGTGGGGCTGGTACTCTAAGAGGGATCGCAGCGTTTTTGGGAGGGCTTCCAGAAGCGGCTCAACGAGACCAGTCGTCGCGGGAAGCACCTCAATTATCGTGTCTATTATCATCTCGACCGTAGAGCTCTTGATGGTCCGCACGCCCGAGGCAATGACGTGACGCAGGGCCGATGCCGAGAGGGGAAGGAGGGCCGCAGTAGAACCAGCCTTCGTCGCCTTGGTCTTACCGTGGAAGAAGGCGGTGCGCCCATCGTGTAGGCACTGGAAAAGCGTCTCGCATAGCGCCAGGTATGATTTGTTCCCAAGAGCCTCCAGACTAGGCTTCCCGCGATTGTGCTTGAGGATGTGGATGAGGTCTTTGAGACCGCTCGTTCGGTCGACTACCCGTGAGGACTCGATCAGGACTGTCAAGCGTTAGTATAAGGCCTATGCGAAGTTCGTTTGTATAAACTGTGACAAAAAGCCGAACACTCTGGAGCCTACGTCAACATGAGAACATGCAAAGTAGGTGACCTAACGTCGATGTAGGCTCCAGGGTGTTCGATTTTTCCCCAGGTTGGCTTGCGAGTGCGCTGCAGTCTGGAGGTGCTCAGTAGGTTCTGAGTTAGCAGATGTGAACGCAACAGGTCGCGACTACCTCCCGCCTTCATCGTGTGGTTCCTCCAAGGACTTACGCTTTGCATCCTGGATATTGGTCGCCCCCATGGCCAAATACTTATACGCGTAACATGTCGCGGCAACTACGCGACGAATATGGAGGCTGAACGCTTTTACATGGAGTAGGTGCAGGTCCTACGGTTGCGGAGTTATGGCGGAGGTGAGTCGTGACGGGAAAGCGCGTCGCAGGGTTTACGTCCGTGCGCCTTCGCGTTCTGCGAAAGTCAAGCAAGCAAGCTCTCGCTCCATTGTTGAGAAAACAACACCCAAACACACGGAACACGTCCGCCCACCCGCCGCCACTCCCCCGGCGCATAATGCGCACGACGACCTCACGAATCTCCTATGGCTGAAGAAGACAGCCTCGCCGCCCTCCAGGGCCTACACCGCGACTTGTGCGCGCACATCGACCTGCAGCTGCCAGTCCTGGAGCGACTGCTGCTGAACCTAGAGGCGCATCTGGAAGAGCTGAAGACGCTATTGGACAAGAAGCCGAAGAATGATGCGAGCAGGCAGGCGCTAAGCTCTGGTATTACATAAACAGAAGTGTAGACAAGGAAGGTGCTAACAGCGCCAGGCAAGATCAGGATTGACGACAACGAGTATGAGGTCAACGACGACTTTAAGCAGAAGGCCCTCGAACTCGCCGACGCCCTCAATCTCGACGAGCTCGACGCCGCTGCCCTCTTCTTGGGCGCCGAGAGCGAGGCCCAAGAGCTCGACCGACCCCAGCTCCAGACCGCCGTGATCCGCTTCCACCGACGCCGCGAATATGTTCTGCTCTGCGTGCGCATTCTGATGAAGACTGCGCTGGACAATGGCGACTCGGAAGTGGAAGGCCTGCCTGTCCTGCAGGAGGCTGCCCAGATGATAGTCGGAGTACATGGCACAACCAATCTGTCCAACGCATACGGCTTCTGGACCAAGTGCTTGACCAGCATGGAGGCGGTGGAGAGGTGGCTGCAGTCCGTCGCTGAGCGCGTCCAGAGCACCCAGGTCGTTGGACAAGTGCCCCTCCCTGGCTTCGTCGAGATTATGGATTACCAGCGCCAGAGTCTCACACGACAGCACGAGAACCTAGCCGCGATATGCACGCACATGATCAAGCCCGGATACGTCAACCTCGACAACTACACGGCTTTACTCACCCGCGCCAAGTCCCTCGACCGACACGACCTCATTACCATCCACTACGTTCCGATACTCCTGCGCCTCACATCTTGGGTCGCATCCGAGGGCAACAACGTCATGCTGAGGGAAGCCCGCGCTCTTCACGACTCGCTCATGGCCGGAAGGGAAAACGACAACTGGGCGCTGAGGAATCTGCATTCGGCGACATTGACGTGGTGGTTGGCGGAGTACAGTGGGCGGTACATGGACCCCAACACGCAAGACGCTGCTTTGCAGGGTATCAACTTTGAGGAGGAGGCCAACACCCGATCTGAAATCTTCCTGAAAGCACTCGGCGACGGCGCATTCCATTTCATGCTATCGGTCAGTCAGGATGTGCGTCCCACGCGCTGGTACGACCCTCAGAAGACCAGCATGTTATCTACGCTGTTGCAGGACACTGCGGTCCTGAGCAGAGATTCGCCACAGCCCGAGGACTTCTTCAAGGAGCTTCTCATGGAGCAACTACAAACCTTTGTCGACTCGTTCATTACTCACATGCCAGACACTCTACGTAAACTAAAAGCCGAAGAGGACGACCAGCGACGACAATTACAACTCCACTTCCAGCGCTCAACTGGAGAATATCCGCTCCACCTCGAACGATTCATGGTCATTGTCGCATACGCCTTTGATGGGTTCCCAGACGCAGCGGAAGACTTTTGGAGCGATAAAGAGAGCAACCTCTACGGATTTCTGCAGTGGGCAGCCAAGCGCCAACCCACTCCCCGGATAGCCATGTTCTGCGAGATGTTACGGGCCATTGGTTCTGGAGAGGCAAATGCCGAAGCGGCGCATCGCTTCCTGCTCGAAGAGGGAGCATCTGCTTCCGGGAAGATCCGACGAACCAGTTCGCTCAGCTACACGACCATCTTCAACGAGCTACGCGAGTTCGAGAACGACATTCACGAGCCGAAGAAGCCCATCCAAAGCGGCGTCTACGCTCAGACCATGAACCCAATCGACCAGATCGTGGAACCAGAGAGCGCAACTATGCTGGAAAGCTACTTGAGACTCATCGCACACATTTGCCGACAAAGTTCTTCTGCGCGGATGTGGATCCTGGATCTCAAAGAGTATTCCTTTGCTGGCATCTGCTTTGGTCTATGCACCGACAAAGTTGAGAGCGGGCTTCGAGCAGCCGCCTACGACGCTCTGTCGGCTCTACTTGTGGGCAAGGACTTCACTCGTGCAGATGCCATGTGGAGTCTCTTGGATGAGTGGACGGTCAATGGCTTCTATACTGGATCCAGACAAAACAACGCCTTGGGTGCTACACCCAGAGATGACTTGTGGCCAACGCTCGCCGACGGGTACGACGAGTCCATCGCCCTAGTTCGTTTCCTTCACTCGCTCGTAGAGCCATATCCGGAGAACGAAGGCTTGAACGACAGTCTACCATTCCCTGAAGGCCTGGGATCGTCGCGCAGGATGCCGGGTATTGAAAGCTACATTGACTTCGTCATGCAGCAGGTGTTTGCAGAACGTTCCCTGGACGTGCTTGATCCGCTACAACGTAGCGTCATGCAATGGACATGCTTGCGCTTCATGGTCACATGTCTTTCCACCTTCAATGAGAATCTCGTCGTGTTCGCGAACAAGTCTAGCATACCTGTTGATTCGGTCATTGACCCCACATCACTTGCTGTGTACGTTGCGCTTCACCCATTTGCACGCGTCATGGAGTGGCTCTTCAACGACAAGGTGTTGAAAGCTCTTTTTGTTGCATCGCACCACGACGTGACCGAGGTCGACGCTGCTCCATCCGACTCTCCATTGATCCAATCCCTGATGCTTAGCATCGAGGTGATGGATCTTGTGATGAAGCTCCAGGCGACATACCTGGATATCGTCAAGCCAGTTCTCAAGCAACAAACGTCGTTCCAGCATTCTCCCGTGTCGAACCTGTCGCTTGCATCTTTCGAGGATGCGATTTTGAACAACCTGCAGGTTATCGTAGACCTGGGACTCTATTGTGGTACCGGCCACGAAGCTTTGACAATTGCCTCTCTTCAATTGCTAGAGAAGATGGCGTCTTCGCGGAAACTTGCAGTCTCGCCTGCGGGCTTCGGACAACGATCAGGGCGAAGCAAGATTGTTGGCATACTAGAGAAAGACAATGAAGCCGAGCGCATCGGCCGGTCCCTCTCAGGCCTGATGCGTTTCAGCGCCGAAGAGCTCGAAGCTGGCGAGGATGCTTCAGGATATGTTGTCAAGCTGCGCGTTTTGGACTTCTTGAACAGCTGTCTAGCGGCCGTGTCCCTCCGGCCGACCATAGCGCATATCCTTCTCGGCTTCTCATGTGGACCCAACACTGTCCGCGTTGGAGAGAACAGCCTCTGGTCAAACGGACAAGCCTTGTTCCACAGCATACTCCTTCTTGGGGTTCAGTATCCTGACAATGACGGCGAACAGTTCATAGCTTGGCGGTCTGCTCTTAAGACCCGATGCTGGGATGTTTTGCAGAAGCTCTGGCGGTCACCGCTGACGAGCGCGCTTGTGATGGAAGAGCTCCGTGACAACGAGCTGCTTTTTGTGGAGGCCCCCCAACTAACTCCCATTACCCTTGATATACCCTGGGATGGAATGTCTCTTGCGCAAGGGCTCGAGGTCACGCCTAACGATTACTCTCCATTTTTCTCAGGACCACCAGCACTCGCCCTCCAGAGCTTCCTTCAAAGACGTGCTGCTTTCCTCGATTATGAGTCGAGAGAGCTGCGCTTGACAGTGAAAGAGAGCATGCCGACTATGAAGTCTAGGATCCAATCTCTCCTTCTCGGAACCACGATCCGGCCTGGCGAGGACGCAATGCCAAACCCGAACATCTTCGATCTATTCGACTTCATCGAGCTGACCTACCCTGAGCGCGCTCTGCCAGATCAACACAAGTTCTTCGAAGGTGTCAATCTGACCTCATGTCAGGAGGAAAAAGAGGGTAGCACTCTCTATTCTTTGCCACTCTTGGAACAAGTCATCCGTCTCAAGATGAAGTACTGGCGGAAAGAGGGCATACTGACTGATCAGGAGCAAGAAGAGCAACTTGTTGAGCAAGCCGAATTGCTCATGGCTATCTTCGTGGACTGGAACCGTCGCACGCAACTTCTCCGCTACCACAAGGACATTCTACAGTCGTGGGTTCAAGTCGTCATGGTCGCGGTACACAGCTGCGATTTCGAGAACGGCGCGCGCAGTTCGTTCATCATGCAGACGCTACAAGTCATCCTACCCAAGCTTGAGCAGTCATACTCCTCCGACATCTTCACGGCTCTCCAACTCGCCAGCCTAGCAGAGGCTCTCATTCAAGAGGTCGACTTTGAGTCAACCGCATTCGACAAGACAGGCGACTTCGCAAACGACCGCCTCTCTCAACTCTTCCGCGCGGCGCTCATCGGCATATACAGCCCCGTGTCCACCGCCGAACTACGGGAATACTGCTACCAGATCTGCTTCCGCTACATCCACGGCACCTTCAATAAAGCAACACCCAACTCGCTACTCGGCCGCCACACCCTCAGCGCCATCAAGAACTGCGGCACCAACATGCTCGAAGTGATCTGCGATGACGCCTACAGCGGCCAAGGTACCTGCAAAGTCTCCGCGCTCCTCCTCCTTAACGCCTTTGTCTCAGCAGCAACACGCCAATCCTCAAAATACATCCTCGACAGCTTCGTCTCCCTCAACTTCGTCGGCGTCCTCGTCGACAACATCAAGCACATACCCGAAGAACTCTCCGCCGCCGCCGCACCGCTCGTCCCCGTCCTCCTCTCCTACTACGATGCCAGTCTCGCTCTCCTTCTCCGCGTATGCCAGTCCCGCCTCGGTGCCGCACACGTCCTCAACGCCGGTCTCTTCCCTGCTATACGCGACTCGCAACTTTTTTCCGTAGACCCAGATATCGGTCTTGAGTTCGACGACCCGAATGCGCTGCGCAAGTACTACGAGCTCATGCTTGCTGTGTTGCGTGTTATCAACGCTGCGGTCATTGCGCGAGGACGGCAAAACGACCAAACGGTGTTCCAGGCGAGAGAATTCTTGAAGGATAACAGGCATAGTATGGTTAGCATTTTCAAGCGGAGTGTTAATGTGGGTGTGGGGATGGGCGAGGAGCTGCAGCAGGATATTGTGGATTTGGTGGATTGTTGGACGGTTTTGGTGGATGTTACGGGGTTTTTGCAGGTAAGACTTCTTGACACGAAAGGCGACGAGGATGTTGATGCTAACACTTTGCAGTATGAGGATCAGTCGAGTGCGAAGAAGGTTAGGGTGAATATGTTCTCTTGATGAACATCATGCTTGGATGGAGGAAGGTGGAGGGAGCGATCTCCTGTGCGCTTGCTGGAATTGTGAAAACATTTAGTAATAGAAGAATCATTTTGAACTCTTGCCGATTCGTCCCTGCCACGCTTGCTATTGTTGTGGGTGTGCACCACGATAATGAAGTAGTCATCGAAATAATGTTGAATGTGATGCATCTAGACACTGACTCGCGAGACCTGGTCAGAACTCGGGCTCAGATTGCACCTCACACAAGGGAAAAACTAAACAGGCCTAGAGTCTACATAGATATTAGGTTACCTGCTTTGCGTGTTTCTATGTTGATGTAGGCTGTAACAACAAAAGTGTAGGCTGCAGGTCTGTTTAGTTCTTCTCTAGGTTGACGTGACTGGACGTTAGTGTTGTGCGTTGCTTGGCATGCTATCCAGATCGGGAAAGTATCCAAAATCCGTCGATTGCCCGTGTCTGCATTGTTACCACAGGCCTCCGAGCGGTTACCCAGCCGAAGATATGATGCACTCACATTTCTTTCCCAAACTTCGTAATACTGGCCGAGGGCTACATCAGACTTGAACACCTTTTGGCCGTACTCACTTTCTTGTGTACAGATTATACTGCACGATGCGGCACCTGCTGCAAAGGCCACCTCGCCGGTGCTTCGCATCGTACCGTGGTCGACTGACGCTGCGCTACCGACCAGGCAACAATCCCACGTATCTCGCATTGTCGCTTCGAATGTGAACTTATAACACAGATACTACCCCCTCAAAATCGGCACAGTACGTACAGCTGCTCAGTCGCACCCTCTCACGTCACCGACCACGCTCGACAATGGCACAAAACACACCTGTCGAATGCACGGGTGTTCGCCCCGTGAACACGACCACCGCCGACCCTATCGGGACCTTAGTGCCACCTCTTCTCCGCCTACCTCGCGAACTCCGCGACCTTATCTATGAGGAGTATGTTCGCGTGGACGGAGGATACATCTACAACCCTGAAACAAACAAACTTGCGAACGCAGATGGTTCCTCAATAGATTTGTCGTTAGGCCTCGTCTGTCGACAGCTCGCGACAGAATTCCAGGGCCTTGCTTTGAAGGTGAATACTCTCACGTTCGAGACATGCTTTTCAGAGGCTTCACGAGAAGACGCAGGAATGTACCACACCATGATTAAGCAGATTGCGTGGCGTAAGACGGAGGTGGTGAAGACGTTCGCTCCGCAACTCTTTACACCCATCATGGCCAAAGCGGTGGCGGATATCTATCCACGCCTCTCGCCACTTGTGGAGGGCTGGAGTACAAGATCTGAACCTGAACTAGAGGTCTTGGCGACACAGGAGAAATACTGCGGCGAGGCTCCTTCGATTTGGCGCGACTGTATCAATACTGTCCTGAGTCAGATCTCAGAACATCCGGACTTCGATGTGACCGTACAGGAGGAAGGCAAGGCCAGTCGACGGTATTGGATCCCGGACAATGCTGACCGAATGTCCAAACTCGTCGACGTAAATCCAGCACCCTGGCATATACCCAACAGAAAGGAACGCGATCAGCTAGCAATTGTCACCGGGGTTGAACCAGAATATCCGTGGTACAAACAACGAACGAAGTACACCTATTCCGCAGCTTCGTTAGCGCTTCAATTTCTCAGGTCACTTCCTGACTCAGCGCTTATGGCTATTCGTAACATCATTCTGGCGGAGAATCATGAAACTGTGACACACCCGGAGTGCCACGGTCGAGGCTTTGTCGAGATATGTCGGCAATACCCCAAAATCCGCATTCAACGCTTCGCCAGTCTTTGGAAGGCCGTCTTTCCTGTTGAGCTCGGAACCCGACTCGATTATAGCTCTTTCAATGAAGACGGAGAAGACGCTTCCTTGTTTGAGCGAGACCGACTAGAGGCCAACGACATTACATACGCAGTAGGTATATGGATGACGGAAGTACTGGTTTTACCCCTCCTCGGGATGCCGCCGGGCTGCTTCACACTAATCCTTGACGGCAATCCCACACCTGATTACATGACCCAAATCTTCAAAGTCGTGCAGCGAGACGTGGCTTTCCAGGCAGCACTCGACATCGCATACGCTACTGGCTCCTTGCCGTCACCGACATGGATTGATCGGAGGCTTCGTACTGGATACACATTCGACGTTCTGCCGGGCTTCATCCAAACGCTCTCGACAGACAGCCCGCTCGTACGCTGCAACTTTGATCCCGGCCAACCTCACGACGCCAACAAACTCCTGGACGAACACCGGGGGTGGACACTTCAGGACTGGGAAAAGTCGTGGGACACGCATTCCCCACGCAGGTTCCAAACTGAGGCTCCGCTACCTCCATGGCATGAGTTGCGATGGCAGTATGTGATAGTATAATGGCGGTCCGAGCAATCGAACCACGGGGTGCAATCACGATATGGAGAGAAGCAATAATCGTGCGTTCGTAATCCCTGGGTTCTCAACATTTTCATGTACTTGGCTTTGCTTGAAAGTTTCAAACCTCTAGTGTGCAACAACCTTCCAGAATACAACATGGTTGCGAGAGAACCTGTCCAAGAACATATTCATAACACTTCGAATACATGTTCAAGCCCATCAGTGTATCCCAGACCTTCAATCTCCACCGGCACTGAGTGGTGGCATCGAACACGACAATCGCATCTCAGAGGACTAACCTCAAGTCAGCATATACATACCCTTTACGAATGATGAACTCACAACTTGTCGGCAGGCATTGACATGATCGTCGATACCTTCGAAGCGATGTCGTAATCGAGAGTCCTCCGCGATACCGCCAAGATTTCTTCCCATGTTTCTAGGTTGCTCTCCTTGAAGTAACCAGAGAAGGTCACCTTGGGAACATTTCTCAGGCGATCGAACGCCAACACGAAGAACAAGTCAACGAACTTCCTCTGGCAGGAAGCCGTATTGCGGAACATATCGTGAACATGGCGCCACGGGTCGTTGATCATGAAAGACTCGTCGCTGAATGGAGCTTTGGGGATCTGGAAGTCGAAATGCAAGTGGTCAAGATTCAGGTCGGTGAGGATATCGAGGGTAACTTCCCTAGACGAAGTGCAAGGCTTGAATCCGCGCTTCCAACTGCTTCGGAAACCTAAAAGACGGAAAAACTGGCTGTTACTCATGCTGAGTGCTAATTGACTGAGGGTGTTGAAGCCAGTCGTGGATTTCACCGACTGGAGTAGCGGAATAGATGCGCCCATAGTGTGGAGACGGGTGTAGCGCTTGACGGTGGACTCCCAGAGCATCTTCTGGAACTCGAAGCTGAACTGCCGGCTGACCAGGAGCAGACTCTTCATCCAACGTGCGTTTTTCCTTGACAGCCCATCGGTGGAAAATACATCAGGTCCCAGCAGATGTGGCTTGCGGCAACCGTACGTGGGTTTGGTGACTTCGTAGGGTATATCTATGCCGATAGTCTTGGGCAAGGCAGCGGTTTGAAAAGCAAGACTTGCTAGTCCTCGAGGCTCGTTCTCCAGGGGTTTGACGTGAATGCACGTTTCAGCTTTTTCGATTTCGCTCACATTCATGAGCGCGGGAAGTTCTTCGTCTTCCGAGTCATAAATGATGGTTTCGTCGTCAATGGTACTACGCTCTCCTTGTGAGCTCAGCAGCGCGTAGCATGGCTCGCTGCTATTGTCGTCGGCGTAGCAATTGCGGCACTCAACCTTGGCTCGTGGCCAGATAGCTGGTCCGATCAAGGCCTCGAGCACCGTGAATCGCAGTTCGGTGGGAAGTCTCATGTAGTCGAAAGCCTGCGTTATTAGACTTGTACTCTGAAGATAGGGGTGGTATCGGAACATACTTGGAAAGGTGCGCACTCTCCAGGAGACCCATCTTGAACTGAGCAACTTCGAGGCGCATAGCGCTTGTCCCAAGTCTCATCCCATCCCAGGTATATGACGTTGGCTACGCTCCGACGCTTCTCATGTTCGCCATCCTGAGAAAGGAGGCAAGAGGTACACTGCATATCTGCAGACATGGTGTTGAGAGTATGTTGAAAGTTAAAGTGGAAGATTTAAAACTAAATCGGGCTTATATATCAAGAAGAAGCGGGAGAAATTGTGAATGAAAGAGATCGACAACGAGTGAAGTGCCTGGCAAGAAGTCAACGCCCGTTCACAAGCTCGCTTGAAGACCGTGCGATGTTGGCAATACGAAACATTGCCACTGGGTAGTTCTTGCGCCTGTGATGTCTGCGAAATAGGAGTCATCACCTCAACTCTGGAAGAGGTATGCCATCTATAGGTCCGCGAGTGAACTATACCGGATCCGGTATGGTGGCTTCATCGAGATAGTACTGAGATGGTCAGCTACCGCGCAATAAGCCACATGCCGTCGCTCGTACACATGGATTTTTTTTTAGGATATGCAGCGAAATGAGTGAATCTTCATCACTCGTTGATGCGCGAGCATTCGACAGCGCTGTGGAAGCTTTCATGAAATCATGATGTACCGAGGTAAGCCGTCAATAGCTTGTGCGCGATGACGCTAGGTATGAGCACTAAAAGCTGCGGCTGGCTCGCGCTGGGAAATTGTCTCTTCACCTCCCCGATCGTGGCTACCTCAACATCTGTTCGCGTCGCGTTCGCGCTTACCCGACACGGTCTTGCGAGACAGCAATTCGCTGGACTATTACGTGGCCATTGATATCCAAAAGCTGTCGCAGCACCCCGCATAACATCGGCGCTCGATATAATATCGCGACAGTCCTCCCGGCATTCATAACGCATCTGCAGTGAATGCGACTTCTTGTACTCGATGATTGAGTCAAGACAAGTAACCGAAATGCCCGCTACGGAAGGTGCAGCTTTGCCCAGCCACAATGATAGTGTTCAACCGCCCAACTCAGTCGAACGGCCCGCCATACTCCGTCTACCACGCGAGCTGCGGGATCTCATTTATGAACATTACATTCGCATCGAAGGCGGTTACACATACGACTATGCATCGAACAAACTCCGAGAAGCCGATGGTCGCCCCGTCTCTATCGCCCTTACCGCATCCTGTCGACAAATTGCTTTCGAGCTTCGTGGCCTTCCCTTTAGCTACAATACAATCACGTTCTCTACGTATTTCTCGGAGTCAACAAATAAAGATGCGGGCGTCTTTCATAGCACAGTGGAAAGCATCTCACTCGCGAAAAGAGGGTTGATACGGCATTTGATTCCACTTCTGCTTACAGAAGACATGGCACAGGAAGCTAGTCAAGCTTTTCCACAATTTGAACAAATCTTTGACGAGTGGGAGCCTGGAGAAAGCATCAACGCGCTACGCAATTGGGACTTTACTGGCGGTGAAGCCCGTTCTGTGTGGGAAGACTTCATGCAGCTCATCTTAACTTTACTTTCAAAGCATCCCAGGTTCCTCCAAGAATTGGAGGCAACTCATGAATCTAATACAAGGCGTAAAGGATGCAAGGTACCCGGGTTAAGAAATGCTTGCGTAGAACCATGGTCAGTTCCCGATGTCTTCGAAATGGAACGACTCGCGGACATCGTGAATGTTGAGCCTTCTCGGCCGGATTATTGGTCCAGTACCCGCTACTGCTTTTCTGCAGTACATGCAGCTCTCCGCTTCCTACATTCGACTCCTACAACGACCCGCGAAATGATACGCAAAGTCATTTTACTTGAGGACCGTCCATCTGTGGCATACCCACAGTGCCATGGACGGGGCCTGATCTCCTTTTGCCAGGCACACAAGGAACTCTGCTTTGAGCGTGTCGTCGACCTGTGGAGAAACGCATTTCCCGTATCAACCAGAGCAATGTACGACTACATCAGAAGAAGTCAGGATGGCGACGATGCGAACACTATGAGAGATGATCGCTTGATCTCTGCGACAATCAGTGATGCCATAGGTTCTTGGATGACGGAAGCGCAAGCGCTGCAAGACCTTGGAATGCCGGAAGGGTCGCTCACCCTCATATTCAACGGCGCACCCAATCTAGAACAAGCTTCACGTGCCTTTCAAGTGGTACAACGAGATGCTGCCTGGCAAGTAGCCCTAGATGTTGCTTACACAAAAGGCACGCTTCCTCATCACTCGTGGTCAGAGCGGCGGCTCAAAACTGGGTACATCACCGAGTGCTTTCCAGACATCGTCGCAAACCTTTCAAAAAAGGATGCGCCTATTCGATGCAACTTCAGCCTTGGTACCCCGTACAGCCCCAAGAAGCTGGGCCAAGATCATCGCGGATGGGATGATGATGACTGGGAGTCTCGTTGGAACTCTTATGATCAGGCCAAATTTCAAACAGAACCGCCACTTCCTCCTTGGCATATCCTGCGATGGGGCTATGTCCTTACAAGATGAAATGTCGCCATACATCTTCGGCGCTCACATCTCTTGGATTTCGTAAGCGTTGCGCAGATCTCAGACCCCACTGGATGGAAGTTTGCATCGCGTGGGCACCGTGGCAGTGCAACCACTGTTGGGCGTCTCTCAAGCTCCGGACTAGCATGACCAGGGACTGTTTCGTTGCATTCCCTCTCGTTAGCAAAGTATGGGAGCGGATGGCTTCTCCCAGGGTTCCTTTGATCTATATGCTAGCAATTTGCGGTTATCGCATCTCGATCTCACGCTCAGCATCCAATGTACGCACATCATATCGGGGAATAGATATCCAGCAGGCCAACACATGAGACCTAAAAGGAACAGAATTGCTATGTTCATGTACGTTCGCCTGGACGGTTAGCACCATAGAACGAAATACGTCAGCTTAGTTGAGTCCGCCACACTGGTGAACAGGTGGCACTGATATCCGCAACCACGATGACTTTCAAGATACTCGAGGGCGCAGCGCGGAATCAAGCCGTGTTGCGGGCAATGGCGACCTTTGGAACCATAACAGGCCCATAGGGTAGGTACCATCTAGACACTAGTACCGATAAGGCAAAGTAGACCCACTGAACAATATTCGGCTCGGTACTGATTGTTGCTGCCTTCGCGCAAGGACACCTACCCTCTACCAACGAAGCTTCATCGATACGCGTCGCATATTGTGTATTTCTGCGAGTATTGCTTTTCGTCTACCATGTCGTCACGTGGAGGCATGTAACAGCATCAACAACCAGTCGCTCTGATGGTTCTGGCTACCACGTTCGACCATCTAGGCAGCGACGATTGCTGTGCGATTGACGCACGACTAGGCGGGAACATGGTACACAAGTATTGCAACTCCGGCTATTAGAACTCAACGTGGCTTCAACGGCCTCTTACCACTTATATACAGCAGACGTCGCTCCTACTTGCTTCCACTTTGACTTCTTCATCACGCTCAAGACAATCACACCACTACAGGTTTACATCCGAGTCACGAAGCAATGATTTTTGAGTATTTGTTCAAGCTCATTAGGGCATTTCTACTCGCTTCCATGAGAGTCATTCTGTTCGATCTCATCAGGAGAATCCTGTTTGCTCTCATTGGGAGATTTCTGTTCACCCGCGCCGAACGGCGCCGGCTCGCGCATTACAGGGAATCCAAATACAACCGCCTCAGAAGACATTGGTACGATCTCATCAATGGACCTCGGCTCTTTTCCATCAGGAAACTGTTCTTCAATGCTCCACCTCCCATCATCACGCGCTGTACGACCATGGCCATGGCTTCCCCAAGTCGCCCAACGCATATGCAACTACAGTCACCCCTCTTCCGAATACCCCGGGAGCTAAGGGACCAGATTTATGGCCATTATCTAATTTGCGAAACGGGCCTTAAATACGACTTTAGCAAGAACAAACTTACTCGGACGGACGGCGAACACATCGATCTATCACTGACGTACACGTGCCGAGAGGCCGCAGCTGAGCTGCACGGCCTAGCTCTTCGACTCAATAAGATCAACTTTCGTACCGCATGTCCGGGCTCATCAAGATTCAACAGAGGGAAGTTTGACGTTGGTATGAGAACATTGAACGGTGGGAAAGAATATCTACTCGACGAGATGGCTCAATCTTGTTTGACGGATGAGATGGAGAAAAAGATAACTCTTGTCTATCCACAGTTTGCCCCTGTTGTGCGGAAGTGGAGACTGGGAGGCCTAACCGGACAGACGTTGAGCGGCGACTTCACCTTTGGCGAGCCACCTTCCGTATATCGCGACTTCGTTCATTTCGCTTTGAAAATCTTGGAGAACAGCCCACACTTCAGCATGCCTTCTGATCTGTTGAGTTTGCCGCACCTCGAGCCTTGGCAATACCCGGATGATGAAGCCCTTGAGGAGATTCTCTGCATCACATGGGCTAGAGAGGCACGCCCTAGTGTCCATGATACTTCATGGCCTGTTCATTGGGACGGCCACGGAGTCATCGTCTCCGCTGCTGCTTGCGCCATCCAGTTCTTGAGCTCTCTTCCAAGCTCGATACGCTCGGAACTCAGGCAAATCGACCTGATCGAAGACCGCGAGTCCATATCATACCCGGAATGCCATGCGAGAGGTCTGGTTCCGTTCTGTCAGGAAAACAAAGAACTGCGTATTCGCAGCCGCGTCGATGTCTGGTGGAATCTACTTTGGGAGCATCATTGGGGCAAGATAGAGGTACACTCAAGGGATATATCGCGAACTGTTGCCAAGTGGATGGTCGAAGCGATGGCACTACCTCTTCTGGGTATGCCTACTGAGGCATTCGTGGTGACATTTGAGTGTGACTCCGCGCCGGAAAAAGCCACCGAGGTTTTTGATGTCTTACAGCGAGACGCTGCATGGCAGGTTGCTCTAGATTTGAGCTACGAACGCCAACACCTACCAACCCCTTCATGGGACCGTCGCAGGCGGATGAATGGGCACATCTACGAAGGGTTTCCCCAGATTCTGAAGAACATAGTCAGCAATGACTCTTTCTTACGTTGCGACTTCTTTCCGGGAGAACCTCATGACCCGGAAGTGATTGTCAATCAGCATATGGGCAAGTCACTCAACGAATGGATGGAGCTCTGGCGTTTTCATACGCCACTGAAGATCTCAATGCCTTCGAATAGGCCATCGTGGTGCACCACGCGCTAATTTCACTATCCATGCGGCGGCACAAAGTGAATCGAGAATGTTGATGCAACTCTGACACGTCACTGCCTCACGCTTAGTGATACTCGAACGATTTGCATGATCGCAAGAGCACACGTTCTTTCAATAGTCTTGTTCAAGGTTATCATCTTCGCAGCGAAGATGAACCTCAACCCTTCGCCATACAATACAAATCAAGTATCACTATTCGTAGGTCTCATGCACATATACTGCACGTATTCATCAGTTCACCTGTGAGCAAGGTGAGATAATTGCTTGGTATCGTGAACGTTCATGGCGGCATTTCTCCCCTGCAGCTATCTACCGTGAACTTATGATGACTTGGCCAGGGAAACGCTCAATGTATCCACCAGAGTTCTCGTGGTGCTAGCTAAAAGGTCCTTTTAGCGTAGAGATCACGCACATCGCGAAGATACTCATCAGGATCCTCTTCCACCCGAGCCGGACAACCAAACCAATCCGAAGGACCATCGACAACAACCATTCGATGATCCCAAATCCCCAATCTACGCTTGAGATCTGCAAGATCCCGCTTACGTCTCTTTTCCTGTTTCAAGAAATTGGGGCTATTAAGGCTGTCTTGCATGACAAGTTGCGTGACAGATACCCTCAGAGAACGCTTGAATTTCAGCAGCTCTGATAAGTACCACCAAGCCACTTCGTCTTCATAATAACGGGAAGTAAACCGCCCGCGAGATCTGCACCGGTGCCAATCCGGGGGGATTCGGAAGATCAACTCGCGGAGTCGCGGGAGATTTCCCAAAATGGTGACGAGCGACTTGCATAAGTCAATCCAGGTACTCCTCTGGTCGCTCAAGGTCTGCTCTGAAAATTCCGGGCAGACGAGTCTGTAGTAGGCAATAGTGCCAAAATTACCGTAAAGACGAGTCTCATCGCTGTAGACCGGTTCGTCTTCATGGAGCAAGGGTGGTGTCATGGTCAAGGTCTTCAACCATCTGCGATTAACAGGCCCGATGTGATTGAGGAACCGCAGCAGTTCGAGGTGGTCGTACGTACTCCAAAAGACGAATCTATTCTCGCCATAGAGGATCTGGGCGCATTCATCGTGCATGGCACTGCATGTACGCAGGAGACTAAGCGCTAGTTTGGTTGGGTGTTTGCGGACAGTCTTGTAGTAGACAAGGTAGATGGGATAGTCCTGGACGAGAACGTAGCGGTAAATCTCGACGCGTAGTTCGGTTGGGAGTTTGAAGAAGGGAAACGGTGGGCCAACCTGCACATATCAGCATGAAAGTTCCTTGTCATCGTCTGGTAAACTTACGAGCTTACGCAGGCTCCTCTTATGATCGAACAGTGCGCGATTCGATCTGTAGGGTTCCAGTTCTTCGGGTGTGAACAGACGTTCTGGTGCGAAGATCGGTTGTAAATCGCCCTCGTCGTCTTCTGCCCAGTCCACAGGTCTGCTCTTGATAACGCGTTTGGGCTTAAGGATAAGGTCATTGTGCTTGAGGATAAGGTTGTTGTGCTTGCTAGCACCGTTCGAACGTCGTCGTCTCGCCATGCTACAGACCTAATGGTAGTTTAGATACTACAACAGAGTTGAGTGCTCCAAGAGTAGCGAACTAAGGAGAAGGGTGAACAGCGGGTACTAGGCGATGTAATTAATAGGCACCGCTCCCAGTCCGTGCACTCTGCGCCTGAGCAGAGGGATTAATGCCACAAGGCCTTGTAGTCAATGAAACGATAACGGTGTAAATTGAGGGAATGGTATGCGGATAGAACGGCATGTCTCGAGTCGATCTCTCTGGGACGAACTCGAGATTCCATACTTGTGTATGCAAACCGGGGAAATGATCGTGAGGCATCCACAGATCTGGAATAGTCGCCCCGATCTCTTCGCCAGTAAATCTCGTAGTAGAAGACTGAGGGCCTACCGGTACGCTCACGGTGTACTTGCAGACCGGTTCGTACAAGATATCTGTGCCAATACACAAGTCGACCGACTCAACCACACAGTGCCGCTCGAAGTGAGCTCGAGTCCCCATCATTTGTAATACATCACCGCATGTGGCAATACATCTCGAATGAACGTAGCAAAAAGATGCTTTTCAATACCTAACACATCACAGTAAGATCACCAAGCGAGGAAGTGAACTCCTTACCTGTTAACCTTACCTTGACGCCGTTGCACTACTTGAAACATCGTGCTTGTAACTTACATTAATACCTACCCAGGTAAAACCGCGAGCAAGGAAGATAATTTGAAAAGAAAGAAAGCTAATAAAACATGCGGAAGAAAGTTCACCTTGCCCTACCCATCGATGGGAACCATCCTAGCCCGGCCTACCAAACCTGTGCGAACCTGGGGTGATGAAGATCGTGACTGTAGTCGGCTGAAGGGTGACGCTGTACCTTTGCTTTACCGAAAAGTCGAGATCGAGACGTGGAGTGCTAGTCGACGAGAATGTGATGACCGATCGAAAGCCTAGAGGTGACACGTCGACAACCCTTACCATCCTGACCTGTAACGCTGTGTTGAATGGTCGAACGTCAAGAGCAGAACAAGCTCGATCTTACCCTCAGAGCCGAGAAAGGGTGAGGCGAAGAAAGGGGAGGTAACCTTTGACAAACCCTTGCAGAAGATACGTGAGCCATCGAGCGGGCCTAGTATCTGCGGCGCTGGCTTCGGTCGTCGTAGCTGTCGCCTTCGTAGCCGCGCTTTCGCGAGCCGTCGTCTCGGCCTCCACCACCGTACCCACCGTCGCGGTCGCGGTATCGATCTCTGCTGCCGAGCGGTTCGTTGTTAGCGCCGCTGGATCCTCGGTCGTAGCCACCACCACCGCCGCCGCGTCGGTCTTCGTATCGTCCTCCGCCTCCACCACGGTCGCCTCCGAATCCACCTCCTCGGTCGCCGCCAAAGCCACCGCCTCGTGGACCGCGAGGACCAGCTGGCGCGCCATCAGGAGGTCCATAACTGTTGGACTGGTAGCCGATACCTCCGCGACCACCACCGAAGTCACCTCGACCGCGGCCACCGAAACCTCCTCGTCCGCCGCCGAAGCCTCCTCGATCACCTCCGAATCCGCCACCAAAGCCGCCACGGCCACCACCTCGTCCGCCGAAACCTCCACCGAAGCCACCGCCGCGGGCTCCGAAGCCGCCGGGGCCAGCTGGAGGCCCTCCAAATTGGCTGCCTCCTCCGCTTGGCCCACGAGCAGACGGACCCTTGGTGTAGCCGCGTCCGCCGAGTCCGCCACCGAAGCGACGTGGGCGCCATCCAGAGACTGTGCGGCCGCGCTCGACATCAACGAGTACGCGTCGATCCTTGATCTTGATACCGTCTGTCTCCTTGTATGCAGCCTTCATGTCCTTTTCGCGCTCGAAGACAATAAAAGCGTAACCGCGCTTTCGCTTCTTGGGTGGCGCGTCGGCGGGTTGGGTGACGTCTTCAACGATCCGAATGCGCTCGATGGGACCGTAGCGGCCGAATTCGCGCTCGAGGTCATCGGAGGTGACGCCATAGGAGAGGCGAGAAACGAAAAGCGTCTTGAAGGCGTCGCCCTGTACTTTGGGATCTTCGACGGGTTTGTCTAGATAATGTTAGTGAGTGATGCAAATAACAATTGCGCAAGTGATAGCGTCAGCGCGCGTGGTGATGTCGTACAATCCTTGACCCCTTCGGTAAGCAGATACTCCTGTTTCTCCTTCTTTTCGAGCTTCTTGCGATCGCGCTTCTGCAGCCAGCTGTCGGTGGGCACGTAGCCGTCGTTGTCTTTGTACTCCCTCAGCGCCTCCATGTACTGGCCAATGCCGCCAATCTTGGGCGTGCAGCGCTTCTCAGGCGCGTGGTCGGAAGGCTCGACCCAGCGCAGCGGCGGCCGCGGGGCGAACAGGTTCAACAGCATCGGGGGGAGTAGATGCGTCATGGTTGCGAGTTTGTTTCTGGAATGCGCTCCAGACGGCGATGTGGAATAGTTGGAATATGAGGAGTGGAGGGCGCGACGATGAAAGTCGATGTTTGGGAGTTGGGGCGTTCGAGGAAGCTGCGACGCGGAGTTCGCACTAGCGCAAACCTAGGCTGCGACCGCCGCACGTGAGATCCGGGCCCGACTTTGGACTTTGAGATTGGTGAAAGCACCGCCGTCACCACCGCAATTGCCCGCCAACATGCCTCTCTCGGCTATCAAGACGGTCGCAAAGGCTCAGGTATGTTTCCACTGATACATCCATCCCCGCATTTGTCATCCTCGATGCTAACTACGTCCTCAGAACGGCGTAGGAGCCTTTGTCCTGCCGTGCAAGTCCATCACCTTCCACTACTGCAACTGGTGGGGGTCGTCGAAAGGCATGAACGCCTTCCTCAAAGCCTCTCTCCCCGCCTTCGCCAAGCGCAACCCTCAGATCGAAATCTCCGTCAGCCCACGGCCACGCCACCACCCCGTCATCATCGCAAACTACATTAACGGCGCTCAACGATCAATATGTGTGAGGAATCTGCAAAATGAGGGTGTGAGGGAAAAGGCGGAGATGTTAAGGAACAGCACAGGAGAGAAGAACAGGAGGCTGGATGGACGACCAGTGAAGAGTCTGAACGAGAACGTCAGGGGCATCTGGAGTCCGTTCCACGGCAGCAAAATCAACATGTGAAGGATTGAAGGTGAAGGCAGACGAATATTACACGCGACGATATCCAGCGAGAATCATGGCAAGGCGTAGCGGCATATCGACCAGAGCTCTGCCTCTATGACATGAATGTTAAAGGACCCGACTTTTTTCGGTATGCCCAAGAGGATGTGAACGACATACACTGGCTGGGGAGTTCATAAACGCTGTACAAACAATGTATCAAAAACACAGGAATCACGAAACTTGCAGAGCCTAAAGCGATGGTCTTCATGCACGTTCATTCTGCTGAATCTACATAGGTCCTAGCCAAGTCTTCTTTTATTTCATAAGATCATAACCATTAGCTGTCGAAGCACGCTCCAATCAACTATAGACGAGCATCGCTTCGAGGCATTCATGCCTGGTTGGCGTTGATGATGTCAACGAAGGCAGGCTTCAAGCTAGCACCGCCGACAAGGAAACCGTCAATGTCGGCCTGCTTGGCAAGCTCCGCGCAGTTCTTCTCTGAGACACTGCCACCGTACAGGATACGGGTCTTCTCGGCAGCCTCGGCAGAGACCTCCTTCTTGAGCCACTCACGGAGGGCGGCGTGGACTTCTTGTGCTTGCTCGGTGGTTGCGACCTTGCCGGTACCGATGGCCCTGTTCTACGTTAGTGATTGAGCATGAAAATTATCTTTATAAGCTTGACGCACCAGATGGGCTCGTAGGCAACGACAATCTTGCTCCAGTCCTTGACCTTGTCCGCGACAGCCTTGAGCTGCTTGGTCACAACGTTGACGGTCTCGCCCGCCTCGCGCTGCTCCAGGCTCTCACCGCAGCACAAGATTACACTGAGACCGTTGTCGATGGCAGTCTTTGTCTTGCTGGCGACGAAGTCGTCAGTCTCTTGTAGGATCTGGCGACGCTCCGAGTGACCAAGGATAGCCCAGGTGATGCCGCTGTCCTTGAGTTGTTGAGCCGAGATCTCGCCGGTGAAGGCACCGTTAGGCTTGTCGAAGACGTTTTGCGCCGCGACCTCGATGCCCTTGCGGAGGTGCTCGCGTGCGAGGAGGAGGTAGAGGGCTGGTGGCGCGATGACGACCTCTGGTCTTGGTGTCAGTCTTTCGTCATCCTGATGGTATGATGGAGTTTTGCGCTTTTCTCGGATCGCTGGAAATATGTTTCGACGTACCTGTGTTCTGGTCGAGCTGGGCCTTGTTGAGGTTCTCGACGAGCGACTTGATGGTCTGAATGTCGCCATTCCTTTAGACTTGTCAGCTTCTCTTCATCTTCTCCAAGCACTCACAGCTTGTGAAAGTACCCACATCTTGTAGTTGCCGCCAACGAAGAATTGACGAGCCATGTTTGCGGTTGGATTGGTTGTGTTTGCGTGAAAAGATGTTACGTTAGGATATAAGGGTGTGGGATTGTGATCGAGTGTTGTGAATGAGGAAGGCACGGAATGTTGTTGTTGTTGAGCAGGAGCAGCACTTCTTACAGCTTAGTGGGGTGACGCGGGGCTAGTGACGTCTGAGGGCTCTGAGCTGTGCTGTACCGTAAGAGCATCCGGCAAAACTCGGACTTGAGCGAAGCATCGCTGAAAAACAATGGGGACGGTGATCCAATAGGAAATCTCTTCAGCGAATTGGCAAGTGTCGCGACGTTTCATTATACATCCTGTGGGACCCGATGCCAGGCAGCTACGGAAGCCATGCCGTTGCACTGCGGCATTTACATCTAACAATGTATGCTTCAAATCTATGTGTCCAGAAGAAAAAGACGGGTTACAGTATCCATCACTCTACTTGGTGTTTCCGACTGGATGAAGCGATGACGAAAGAGTGGGGTCACCCACTTGATCATCCCGCAGCGCTTCTTAGCTTTCAGCCTCACAGCCGGCCGAAATCCTTCACATGCACGGCCTTAGCACCGCATTCCACCACACGAACATTGCCGGTACCCTAATGTCATCCGAAACGCAAGACTCTCCGACTGTTCACGGCTTGTCGGTCACACCGCTAACGCAATGCTCTCATTGGCATTCCCCGCTTGACATCATCGCCATCAAGCATTTTTGCTGCCAGAAGTTCTACGCATGTATCAGCTGTCACGATGCATGCGAGTCCCACGAGTCTGACATCTGGCCTTACAAACAAAGAGACGAAAGCGCAGTGCTTTGCGGACAGTGCAAGCATGTGTTGACCGTTACTGAATACATGGACAGCGGAAGCAAATGCACACAATGCGGAAGCGCATTCAATCCTGGGTGTAAAAACCACTGGGAATTGTACTTCGAGCTAAACAAGAAGCCGCAATGATGCGCTGGAAGTCGGGTCACGAGCTGCGGATATTCCCAGGCAGCACTCCCAACCGAACCGTGATAACACCATTGCATGCTGCGACCTGGATGTCTTCCGGCCACAGTTACTAGATCAACGTGTCTTTGGAACAATTCTCAGTGTATGACTCCCGGGCTCCCTCGTAGTCTTCGAGCATTCACCTGGACTCCCATCGACATCCCACATACGGGCGAAATCACAATGGCCTTCCATGAATCTTCAGCTTTGGCCCGCATGTTCATCGTCAAGAATATCAATATCCCGCCCTCTCCCACTGTACCGCCAGACCAGGATGCCGCTACCGAATCAGAACGACTCAATCTATCCTTCATGGATCTACCGCGAGAACTTCGAGATATCGTATACGAGCTCTACCTCCCGGATACAGAATCCACATACGACGCAAAGACACACAAGTTTACCATCACCAACAAGGAAGCTGACGACATGTCGCTTGGCTTCACTTGCCATACCATCTTAGAGGAGCTACTTTGTCGCGCATTCGAAGTCAATCTAACTTTCCATGCTGCTTTCGTGCACACGCCACGCGAGAGTGACGATCAATGGGTCGATGACATTGGCCACATCTTACTTTACAAGGAGGATGTCGTGGATGAAATGGCCCGTAGGTTTCTAACGGAGGCCGGAGAGGAAGAGATAGCTACATGCTATCCACAGTTTCAGCCCATACTCTCTGCCTGGCGCTCGAACCGCGACGAAACATGGTTCTCCAAAGGCCATGACTGGGGAGAAGCTCCATCGATCTACCGCGACTTCATCCAGCACACATTGACTGTGCTCGCAAAGCATCCCGAGTTCGCGCACGACGACATAGAGTGGATGGACATCTTGCGGACACCATCAGGCGCTCAACTACCAGCTCGCAACCTCTTGGATCTTACCAATTTACAGTCCAAACTCTGGTCGATTCCTACGGACGGAGATTTCATGCATAACGTGTCCATCTCTGGATTTCCTACTGAGAATAACGATTACCCCAATACCGTTAGGTACCCATTCTCGGCCGCAGCCATCGCAATACGATTCCTCAACTGCCTGCCCCTGGGCCTGCGGAAGCAGATCCAATGTCTCCGCCTTGTTGAAAACCGAACTTCTATCGCGCATCCGGAGTGCCACATGCGAGGTTTCATACCATTCTGCATCGATATGCCAAAACTCCGCATCGAACGACGCGTCAGCATCTGGAAAACAGCTTCTACTTGTCACCATCCATACCCTTGGCTCAACGAGAGACGAGTATATGTGCGAGAAGGCAGACAGGAGGGCAAAAAGAAGCCTAAACGTAACCGGAGGATCTGGCCAAACTGGAGCCCACCTTCATTCCACGACTGGTTCACAGCTCATGTATTACCAGAAGCCCAGTCCGTGACGAAAGCTATCGCACCCTGGATCATAGAGGCTGACGCCTTGGAATCGCTCGGCATGCCGGCCGGTGCATGCACTCTACTGTTCAAAGGAGACGCAGCTGTGTATCCCAAGCTTGCGCACAATATGTTCAACAACGTTGTACAACACGATGCCGCGTGGCAGATGGCCATGGACTTGACGTTCAAGCCCAAAGACTCGGAAGCTTCGCAAATAGAGTGGTTTGCAAAGCGACGCCGTCGCGGTTACTTCTACGAAACCTTTCCGGTTCTACTTCAGCATATGACCGCCGGGATAGGCCGCATCAAGTGTGACTTCGATTTGGGCGTTGAACAAGATGCCAGGACCGTCGCCCAAAGCATGCCACACCAGTCTTCTGTTCACTGGGATTGGCTCTGGCGCGATCATCAGTTGAACTCAAATGATACGGCGTATGTTCTGATGTTCAAGGTCCTGAACCCTAACCGCCCTGGGCCTCGCTGATTCAATGGAACCTGTCGCTTGAGTAGCATTTCCGAAGCCTTGATTTACACCAAATCGACGATGCAGAAGAGGGAACTCATTTGAGGAACCCATAGAACACATTGTAGAATGTATTCATTCGCCATATATCCTTTATATCACATTCATTCATGATTCGCATCCCCTTATTTACTTATTTCCCCAACGTCAAAAACAGCCTGTCGCCAATATCGCCCAGCCCGGGCTTAATCATGCCCTTCTCATCAACCCCCTTATCGCACCCACCAACCCACACCTCAACCCCCTCTTCCCACTCTCCACACGCCTTCTGCAGCCCCTCTTCCGTCGCCAGAATAGCCACGACGATAATCCGCTTCACACCCCAGTCCTTCAGCGTGTCAATGGCCGCCTGTGCCGTCGCACCCGTCGCGATGATGGGATCTACAATAATCGCCAGCTCTGGTTGGGGCTTGGTTGAGCCAGCTGTGTGCGGGGTGTGGTAGGGCAGGTTGTTGTAGTATTCTACGGGTTGTAAAGTGGATTTCTCGCGGTAGAGACCGAGGTGGTGGACGGGCACGGGCATGGGGAGCAGGGAGGAGAGCGCGGGGACCATGGAGAGGCCGGAGCGGAGGATGGGGACGAGCGATATGGAGGTCGGTGAGGGGGAGGTGGTGGTTGTGGTGTATTCGTAGCCGAGCGGGGATTTGTCCTAGAGACGGCATGTTAGTAGGTGGTATGGTATGGTATAGCATTGCTGCTATGATTGTTGGCTGGGTGATCTGGGGATATGGGAATATGGGAATATGGGAATCCTTCTATGTATATGTCGTGGAGTACCACCCCACTTTGTGACATGATGTGACCGGGTGAATGTAAATGTGATGGAATGGGTGAACGTACGAGGCCTGCCTCTTGTGCCTTTAGGCCAGCGGCCAGAGCTTCATAGCCGACCATGAGAGCGAGTTCATGCACCAGGGTTTGCGCATCTTTGGACCCTGTGCTCGCGGATCGGAGCTGTGAGAGCTTCGCCTGGAGACATGGGTGTGTTGAGACGTGGGCGTTCTTGGGGAGGTTGATGCCAGACATGGTGGATTCGCAGTGTAATTACGTAGAGAAGATACAGTAGTATTGCAGGTCTTGGTATTCTGGAATATATAGTTGTTGTTCAACTTGACACCTACTGTCCATTCAAGAAGGTGCATGAGACAAGCGCGTGGTCACGCCTAGCTCCCCACATGCCGGCGATAACAGATGCCATGGCGTCGGGCGCCTCCGTGACACGAAACCTTGTCACGCCTCGGCAGGTGCAGTGCCGCTAGACTGGGGAGTCCCTGCCAATCGGAGAAAAAGGAAGCGCGCGCCATTCGTCCCATTATGTGCATAAGCAAAGGTTACTGAGATTTGACCTTTTCTTATTTGGCGCAGGAGGGAGGAGAGACGCGAAGGAGGGCTGATATACGTGTGCTGTCTTATTCTCGGGCATCGCCACTTTTGTCCCGGCATCATAGAAAGCAGCATGGCGCGTTACTCCAAGTTGCACACGGCGTCTTGAGCTGAAATTCTACACTACAAAGTTACGGGCGACTGCTCATCTTGGGACCCGCACGTCATTGCACATCGACGCTGCATGCACAAACGGGACCAGGACGGCAGCTATGGCCAACGCTGCACTCGACGACGACGATGTCCCCACCAAGCGCGAGTCGCATTTCAACAACCAGCGCTCGTCGCTGCGCTCTTCCACCCTCTCTGAAGAATCAGCGCACCGCCCGGAACCGCGATCGCGAACCCGCAGCGACCTGCGCCGGCTGCACGACTTCAACCTCGACCTCGAGAGAGTCCACTCGGAGCACGCGGATAGCGAGCCATTGCCCTCGCCTACCTCGACCGCCTCGCCCGCACCCAACGTGCCGTATACGCGACAGCGGAACCATTCGTACAGCAGCGCGAAGCGGTGGGACAAAAACGCCGGGAAGCACCGTTCGCTCAGCACAGTTTCCTCACGAGCCGGCGAGAGCAAGCACGACGACGACCTCCTAGGAGCAGACTCCTGGCTCCATCTCTACAACGACAACGCGCATTCGCCGAATCTTCCCACGCCATTGCGCACACCCAGAACGCGAGCACAGAGTAGGGCGTCGCAGAGAGAGAATGCGGGTGGTGGTAGTCCGGCATCTCAAACACATCCACACCGATCGAGAAGACCCTCTTTTCCACTCGGACGAGTAGCGCCCGGTGCTGCATCAGGGTCTCAACTAGACATCACGGCCCTGCCCAGCATGTCGCCTGTCCAAGAAGACGGCCACGATCACTCCCACCGCTACGATGATCACCACACAGACGCAGAGTACTACTTGCGCTCCAAGCGCACCCCTGGACAACAAAAAGCATCGAGATGTGCCACGGAGCTGTACACCATCTCTTACCTTATCTTCTTTTCCATATGGGGTACCTTAGCTCGTCTGGGTCTACAGGCCCTGACATTTTACCCCGGCGCACCCGTCATTTTCTCTGAACTCTGGGCCAATGTCGCGGGTACATTCATAATGGGCTTCCTGTCCGAAGACCGCCGTCTCTTCGCTGCCGAATGGGGGAGTCGCAGTAATAGTAATGATGGTGAAGAGAAACTGCCCGAACCCACCGATTATCCTGCCAACGACATTGAACACTCGCAACACAAGGCGCGGCATGGGAAGATCAAGAAAACTATACCGATGTACATTGGTCTTGCAACAGGGTTTTGCGGCTCATTCACCAGTTTCTCGAGTTTCATGCGCGACATCTTCCTCGCGCTGTCGAATGACTTGAAAAGTCCTATCAATCATCCTTATCCCGCGGGTGCATCTACACCGTCTGTGACCACCACAGTACCCCGCAACGGCGGATACTCCGTCATGGCCATCCTCGCCACCATCATAATAACCATAGCAACATGTTACTGCGCCTTACACATCGGCGCTCATCTCGCTCTGGCCCTAGACCGCATAACACCCAGCCTACCCTTCCGCTTCACACGCCGCGTCTGCGACCCTATTTTCGTCATCCTGGGCTGGGGCGTATGGTTCGGCGCAATCATCATGGTGTGTCTCCCACCTTACTCAACATGGCGCTCCCAAGCCCTCTTCGCATGCGTCTTCGCCCCCGCAGGCTGTCTCCTCCGCTACTACATCTCCCTGTTCCTCAATCCCATTGCGCCGTCCTTCCCACTCGGCACCTTCACCGTCAATATCTTTGGTACTGCGGTACTGGGTATGGCATACGATCTCCAACACGTGCCTCTCAGCAGTACAGGGCTGGTTGGAGGTAGTGTGGTTGGCTGTGCGGTACTCCAGGGGATACAAGATGGCTTCTGTGGCTGTTTGACGACGGTTAGCACGTGGATTGTGGAGATCGATACGGCGAAGAGGAGGAGAGGTGCGTATGTTTATGCGGGGGCGAGTGTGGCGGCCGGAGTGGGGTTGTTGGTTGTGGTTATGGGGAGTGTAAGGTGGACGGTTGGGTGGGAGGAGATGCTGTGTATGACGTGATGAGCTGGTGAGGTGACTGTTGGACGATCATGTTTTGTTTGCATTTATGGTTTCGGTTATTTGGAGAACATGGTCATGAAATGATGGGTCATGAGACGGTACACGAGGATCTCACTGGTCATACGATACATGATACGACTACGGAAGATGATGAGCTTTTGGCATTTACACTTATATACCCATGCAAGATAGAATCAACTTTATTTACATTTCTTAAGCGCGCCCTCCTCTTTCCATTTGGTTTTTTCACTCCTCGACTTCTCTACTCTACTCAAGTGTTGATTATAAGTGCGAGTATGCATCCTCAGCGCCCTGTCGGATCGGGCGCTCGATATACGCCGCTGATCTTTTGCATCGCTGCAACGACATTATAGACATCTGGTTTACCCTCAAGGGTCTGCGATATATGCTCAGAACAGCAAGTTATTATATTATTACGGTTAAGTTCTGATGCAGAGCAGAGCTGCAACGCGGTCGGGTAACTCTACATTACAGTTCCTATGCAGGTGTATATTCTAAATACCTTGTACTCTCCGCATGCAGCTACAGGAGTTGTTATGCTAAATCTGTACAGTTACAAACAGCCTGCATACTTCAATATTGAGGTTAGAACGGGCTGAATAGACGCAGTAGTAGTAGTACAGTTACAACCGCCGTCAGGGATACTTCGCCGGATACCTGTGGTCTTTGACACACTAGACGCATTTTGTGAAGCTGAGAAATCTGACGATACTTCCTAGAGATTCCAAATGATAGTGGGGCCGTCACAGGTTCCCAACTTGTTCTAGCTCGTTGTCCTGATCGGTGCCTGCCAAACGTACTGGCTGGGAAAGAAGTACAGCCTGATCATGACATCATCTCACCTGCACTGCGCCAGCCTGGTAAGGCTACACATATAACCACCGCTCGGCTGCCCCACCATAATACTACCGGTTCCATCGACAAGGCTCCTTTCCGTCACATATCCATCCAATATCTGTCTGGTGAGAGCCTCTTCAGATGCGAGCGCATCTTGCTCATTCATCTTCTCTTCACTTCCATATCGCATGCCTACCTTCTTTTGGCGACCTAGAAGGCCGTATCAATGAGCGATACGCCAAAGGCTAATACGCTCTGCGAGCGCTGCAGCCTTCTCAGCTTTGACGATGGCGCCATCGGGGGCCAGGAAGTAGTTGGCGAAGATGGCGTTGTGCGACTAACCTTCCCGGAGTCCAAGATCAATTATCGTCCTGAGTGGGCGGAGCCAGGGGTCTATGTACAACCTCATTATGAACTAGTTCGCCTCGATTGGAAGCTCGTCGAGCCCTCGCCTGAGATGCCTCATTTGTCTCATTCTTCTCAACTTGGTTGTGCATTCTGTCAAGCTTTGCGCAAGTCACTAGAGGAGACACTTGCGGACAAGGCGAGAATCTTTCCGATAGACGATGGTCCACTGAATTTGATAGCATATCTTTCGGTGGTTGATAGAGGGGTGGTTGATAGAGGTATTGAGGG